AACAATGGTGATTATACGAATATCGTAACTTGATCTATCATGAGTTCAATTCCCACTAAAAATAAAGTCATAGTTATTCAGTTTGACTCATAATAAACATTTGTGAATTGTTTTTTTGTATCAGTTCACATAAAAATTAATCGGATTTGCTTGTGAAAATGTTCTTTATGAAATCAGTTTAGTCCGGATCCACCAAAATAAATAAATAAAATTATCTTAAAATATAGTTCCAATTTTGAGCCGACTTGCATTAACTGATACACGTTTACTTTACCTATATAATCTTTTTCTCAATTTGCATAGAAAAGTAAACATGGAGATTTAATGATCATTTGACTATTGACACATGAGTCAAGATTTGCAGTTGATTGTACAAAACCTTTTTCTGCATAATAAAGATTAAAGAGGTTACTTGTTGGTACAAAAAAAGTAGTAGTCTCGTAATGGTTGCAAGCAAATTTGTAGTTAATGATTGGACCTAGTAGTATACCTACATCAGATATTGTTGAGACCTTCTATGAGTTATTTTTTGCATAGAAATAACTCATCAGCTTTGTTTTTTTTTTTTTTGCATTTTAACTTTTCACCCCTCGGATTTCATGTGCAGCACATGATGTGCTTCATAATTTTGACACTAATTCTTAAAACAGTAAAGTTATTTTAGTCACATTTAATATACTATAATTTTTTTTTTAAAACAATGGTAATACGAATATCGTGATACTATAATTTCATGTGCTTCATGAGTTCAATTCCTACTAAAAATAAAGTGATACTACTAGCTAGTATATTCAGTGTGACTCATAATTAACCTTGTGAATTGTTTTTGTATCAGTTCATTGAAATTACTCGGATTTGCTTGTGATGCCGAATAGTTGTGTTGAAACTTGAAATGTTCTTTGTGAAATAAGTTTAGTCCGGATCAGTCCCAAATAAATGAATAAAAATATCTTAAAATATAGATCCAATTTTGAGCCGACTTGCATTAATTGATACATCTTTACTTTACCTATACTCGTTTTCTCAATTTGCGTAAGAAAGTAAACGTGGAGTTTTAACGATGTTGACTGTTGACATGAGTCAAGATTTGGTGTTTGTTTGTATATATACTAGGTGATTCTTCTGCGTACACACGGATAAATTATTTATATACTTAGTTTTTAATTTTAGTCTTTAAAATATAAAATATGTAGTTGTTTTGATTTTTATTACAGACATTGTTGTTGATTCTTTGGTCGTTAATTTTTTTGTCAATAATATCGTTTTTATTAATAATACGAATTTCAGAAATTTAGTTTAACCATTTAATTATTTTATATAGGGACAATTATAAAAATACCACTATAAGTGTGCCACTTTGCAAAAATGTCACGTTGGGTTCTCCATTTGCAAAAATACCACT